TTTCTTTGTCCAAAAAGATTGTCAGTTGTCTAGAATTTCATTATATCTTTTTAATTTCTTTTCTTTTTCTAGGTAAGTGTGATTTTCATGATGTGACAGTTTACTTACTACAAACTTTCGGATTGGTAATATAGGTAAGTTGACTATGTTATGTCATTTCCTAACAATCATTCCTGTTCCCTTTGTATTCGGACAGCTTCTTCCCAAGAACTGTTGCTTTGTTGAACAGACTCTCAGTAGGATGTTTTCTCAATCATTACAATCTTCACCTCTTCAAGTCTAGGGTTAACCTTTATCTTTTCCTTTCGTATTCCAATAGTAAGAAGTAAGTTCCATTCGGACAGCTTCTTCCCAAGAACTGCTGCTTTGTGGAACAGACTCCTGAGAGGACGCTTCCCTGATTGTGACAATCTTGACCTCTTCAAGTCTAGGGTCAACAGTTATCTTTCCTGCATAACCCCATTAAATTCTTGCCTTTTCTCATGTTTGTACAACTCCATGTATTAACCCTCTACCTTGAGTGGCTCTTGGGCATTATATTGTGTGAGCATTAATATAAAAAAGAAACCAAACAATACACAAAATTTGAGTAAAAATTGAAATTTTTCCCATCCAGTCCAAGAAATGTTTAGAATAATTCTCTAGAAATCTTTTGACAACCATTCCACAGAAAAAGTATTAAATATTCTCACAGAAGCCACATGCCTCTCACTACTCTATCGCCATTTCCGTGGCAAATATTCTGACAAGTTATGCTCGTAAGTTCCATGAATTTTGACCTTTGTAGTTAAGATCTGCTATGCCACGGACACAAAGGCAGATCATCATGTGTTCCCTTTGTATTCCATTAGTAAGGAAGAAGTCCCATTTGGACAGCTTCATTCTCCCCAACAAGAACTGCTACTTTGTGGAACAGATTCCCACAAGGATGCTACCCTGACGACTACAGTTTTGACCTCTTCTAGTCTAGGATCAACCATTATCTATCCTAGATAACCTTGTAATTTGCACTTCTTACCTCCTCCCTGTCCTTATGATCATGCAGCCACTTCATTTAGTAAGGCTCTACCTTAAGTGGCTCTTGGGCTTTATATTCATGAACAATAAATGTAAAAATTAGGTCTGCTGCTGGTAAAGTTGGCTCATTCTCTCATGCGAGACAATTTTTCTCTCCAGAATCTATCTTACATATCTATAAGTGTAGAAATTTTGAAAAACAAACAAAAATCCATAAATGTAGTTAAAAATGAAAGAATTGTCGACGTCAGACGTTTCGGTTTTAATAAACCATTTTCAAGACAAAATTCATTAAAATACAAATTCAGTTTGTCTTGTACATTAAGTCTACTATTCATCCATGCTTAGAATATTGCTGCCACATCTGGTCTTGTTATTCTGCTATGTATTTAGAGATTCTTGATGAAATGTTATTGTCCCTAACCTGGCATCTCGACTTCAGTGACTTTCCCACTGTCATAAAATATCTTCCCTTTGCTCTTTCTATAAACTACTTTCCTGCTAATTGTTCTGATGAACTCTCGTCTTTGATTTTTCTTGAAATTTTGGCACCCACCCCAGGATCTATTGAAGGCAAGTGAATCGGAGGAAAGCAGCACATGGCCCACCTGACGATCTTGTGTAAATGGTTGGCAGAACAGGGATTTGAAGAGATAGCGAAAAGACAAAGTTTCTTCAGAGCTACAAAGGATAGGAGATTGTGGAGAGCTATGATCACCCACATACTGAAGGGACATGGAACATAGAAGAAGACGTATATGAAATTTGTTCTTCTTTCCTTCAAAGATGACACTTTCATGAACCTCTCTCTTTATCCCACTGTCAACCTCTCTCTCTTTGTGTCCCTCTGTCTCTCTCTATTTCTGTGTCTCTCTATTTCTGTGTGTCTCTCTCTGTCTCTCTTTCTGTGTCTTTTTGTGTGTCTCTCTCTGTCTCTCTCTGTTCTGTGTCTCTCTCTCTATTTCTCTCTCTGTTCTGTGTGTCTCTCTCTATTTCTGTGTGTCTCTCTCTGTCTCTCTATTTCTGTGTGTCTCTCTCTCTCTCTCTATTTCTGTGTGTCTCTCTCTATTTCTGTGTGTCTCTCTCTATTTCTGTGTGTCTCTCTCTATTTCTGTGTGTCTCTCTCTATTTCTGTGTGTCTCTCTCTATTTCTGTGTGTCTCTCTCTATTTCTGTGTGTCTCTCTGTCTCTCTCTATTTCTGTGTGTCTCTCTATTTCTGTGTGTGTGTCTCTCTCTGTCTGTGTCTGTGTCTCTCTCTGTCTCTCTCTATTTCTGTGTCTGTCTCTCTCTCTGTCTCGCTGTGTCTGTCTCTCTCTCTCTCTGTCTCGCTGTCTATCTCATCTTTTTACTCTCATCAAGAGAGCCACTTAAAAATCAAAAGATCAAACTAAATTGTTCTTTTCTCTACCCTCAACCATTCACCTCCACCCCTTCATCCTGACCCCAACACTTGTCTTCCTTTTTTTTTTTTTTTTTTTTTTTTTTTTTTTTTTTTTGCCTCTCCACTTTTTCTTCCTGTGCCAAGTGTCATTTTCATTTATTCATTCCCTCAGCAATTTTTTTGTTCCTGGAGATGAATTTGTTTACATCTTTATTCTTGTTAGAATACCATTTTTTTTTTTTTTTTGAACCTAGTCCCTTAAAAAAACTCCTTCATTTTCTTGTTCCTACTTCCCTCGTATAATGGCTATCAGAATGCCATATTGAAGTTCTGACAGTCTGTTATATCCACTTTGCACTAATGCCCTTGGAAAAAAGCATGAATCCACCTTGCCCCAACTATGGGTTAAATAACAAGCTCAGCTGGGCTTTGTAGGAAAAGGAAAATTTTAATTTCAAACCCCTGCTACCTTGTGACCAGGTGGTAGGTTGGGCTTGTTAGCAGCTAACCTTGAAGAAGGAACACTCTGATCACAGACAATATGCCAGACTTTAGATTTGAATATTAACCAAAGTTGAATTATTGGCACTGAACATGAAAATCCATAAATAATCTTGAGGTGGATGCACAGATGAACAGTTGACTGAACAACAGAATGGCGTCAATGGAGGTAGCAAAAGAGTTAAACGTTATTTGGGTTTTTGTTTTTCATCTCTTGCAACGATTTGTAATAAAATAATTCATCTTTATGGATGAAGGTGTTCCTATGTATGTTTGTTCATTGTGTGTGTGTATATATATATATATATATATATATATATATATATATATATATATATATATATATATATATATGTATGTATGTATATATATATATATATATATATATATATATTCTTTAAGCATTTCTTTTCAGCAAAGGTCCATCTTACCACAAGCCCACAAGGGGTTACAGAGAGTGGGAGAAAGAGCAAAGAGGCGTGATAAAGGAAAGGATGAAGAGAAAGACAGGGAATAGATCAAAGCATCTGGAGATGTTGATTGATATTACATTTGAATAGTTGAAGATTATAGCTATCAGGGGAACAAGTAATAGGAAGGCAATTCCACAGACAGGAGGTGCGAGACATGAAGCTATTGGAGTAGAAGAGATGGACACATTTAACTGTTTCGACAGTGAAAGGGTGGGATCAAAATGCCAGCCTAGTTGCACGTTTAAATTCATGCAGTTTCGGAACTAGTGAAAGCAGCTCATCGGAGCAATTACCATGAAAGTATTTGTAGAAAAGACAGAGGGAGGCAACGGCATGTCTGTGAGAGAGCGACTGTAGATGAGATGCCAGATCAGAGCCAATCACATTGCATATCCAACTCTGGATTTTGTTGAGGACCTTAAGATGAACAGCAGGGGCACCAGACTATATATGGCAGCAGTATATATGTGACGTAATTATATTATTTACACTAGTTACATCGTTCAGACTGTTGTTCTCATCTTTGTCACATTCATGACATTTTGATCGTTGTACGCTACAGCCTTTTTCAGGGTCTGCCTATATTTCTGAGATGAGGTATTGTAACAATTTATATTATTCGGACAGTTGTCCTCTTCTTTGTCATCACATTCACAACATTTCGGCCGTTGTACGCTCCAGCCTTCTTCAGGTGATATTTGTTAGAATTTTGAACCAAACCCTTATAGTCCACAGGAATAGATTGTTATTAGAAGATTGTTCTAATAACAATCTCCTCCTGTGGAGTCAGTAAAATGTTCAGTTTGAAATTCCAACAAATAACACCTTTCTTTTTTCTAATTTCGTACAATGGCTGAAGCGTCGAATATGGCAATAATGATGGGACAACAGTCCTTTTCATAAATCATATTTAATAATTACAATACCTTATCTCAGAAATATAGACAGATCCTGAAGAAGGTTGTGGTGTACAACAGCCGAAACGTTTTGAATATGGCAATAATGATGCAGACAACAGTTCAAACAATGTAAATAGTTACAATACCTAATCACAGAAATATACACAGTAATTATATAATTTGTGTATAAATTACAGTTAAGATATATACATTGGATTTGTGTTTTTATATACATGTACATACATACACACACACACACACACACACACACACACACACACACATACGTGCGTTTCATTAAAAACAACTGATAAGCTATTACGGTTAAGTTTTTCATTTAATTTTTCTCTTGTTCTTTTGGTTTTCTTCTTTTCTGGACATAAATTATGTAGAAATTATTAAAGAAAATGTGATTCCTTGAGGGACATCTGAATTTGTAAATAACACTCAATAATATCAACTATGAACATGGCCACAATGTGTTGACCATGTTTGGAAAATAAAGCATTCCTATAACTCTAGATGAATACATAAAACAATCTATATATTCAGCTAAAAATAACAATAGAATCATCCTTAATAATGGCTAAAAGTGTAGCTGAAAGGGTTTGGACAGACAGGAACATTTGGATAATTTCTAGATAATTTATGCCCAGAAAAATAAACATTTTTAAGAACAAAATTAAATAAGAAACTTAATCAAAGTACTTTGCTTGTCGATTGTTTTAATGAATTTCTCTTTCCTTTTTCTTTTTCTCTCTCTCTGTCTCTCTTTCCTTTTTCTTTTTCTCTCTCTCTCTCTCTTTCCTTTTGTCTCTTTTTTTTCTTTTCTTTCTCTCTCTCTCTTTTCCTTTTTTTCTCTTTCTCTCTCTTTCCTTTTCTTTTCTCTCTCTCCTCTTCCCTTTTCTTTTTCTTTCTCTCTTTCTCTTTCCTTTTCCTTTTCCCTCTCTCTCTTTCCTTTTCCTTTTCTCTCTCTCTCTCTTTCCTTTTTTTCTCTCTCTCTCTCTCCTTTTCTCTCTTCTCTCTTTTCTTTTCTCTCTCTCTCTTTCCTTTTTCCTTTTCTTTCTTTCTTTCTTTCTCTCTCTCTCTTTCCTTTTCTTTTCTCTCTCTCTCTTTTCCTTTTCTTTTTCTCTCTCTCTCTCTCTTTCCTTTTCTTTTCTCTCTCTCTCTTTTCCTTTTCTTTTCTCTCTCTCTCTCTTTCCTTTTCCTTTTTCTCTCTCTCTCTCTTTCCTTTTCCTTTTTCTCTCTCTCTTTCCTTTTCCTTTTTCTCTCTCTCTTTCCTTTTCCTTTTTCTCTCTCTCTTTCCTTTTCCTTTTTCTCTCTCTCTTTCCTTTTCCTTTTTCTCTCTCTCTTTCCTTTTCCTTTTTCTCTCTCTCTCTTTCCTTTTCCTTTTCTCTCTCTCTTTCCTTTTCCTTTTCTCTCTCTCTTTTCCTTTCCTTTTCTCTCTTTCCTTTCCTTTTTTTCTCTCTCTTTCCTTTTCCTTTTCTCTCTCTCTCTTTCCTTTTCCTTTTCTCTCTCTCTCTTCCTTTTCCTTTTTCTCTCTCTCTTTCCTTTTTCTTTTCTCTCTCTCTCTCTTTCCTTTTTCTTTTTCTCTCTCTCTCTCTTTCCTTTTTCTTTTTCTCTCTCTCTCTTTCCTTTTTCTTTTTCTCTCTCTCTCTTTCCTTTTTCTCTCTCTCTTTCCTTTTTCTCTCTCTCTTTCCTTTTCTTTTTTTCTCTCTCTCTCTTTCCTTTTCTTTTCTCTCTCTCTTTTCCTTTTCTCTCTCTCTCTCTTTCCTTTTTCTCTCTCTCTCTCTTTCTTTTTTTTCTCTCTCTCTCTTTCTTTTTCTTTTCTCTCTCTCTCTTTCTTTTTCTTTTCTCTCTCTCTCTTTCTTTTTCTTTTCTCTCTCTCTCTTTCTTTTTTTTCTCTCTCTCTCTTTCTTTTTCTCTCTCTCTTTCTTTTCTCTCTCTCTCTTTCCTTTTCTCTCTCTCTTTCCTTTTCTCTCTCTTTTTCTTTTTTCTCTCTTTTCTTTTTCTCTCTTTTCCTTTTCTCTCTTTCCTTTTTCTCTCTCTTTCCTTTTCTCTTTTCCTTTCTCTCTCTCTCTTTTCCTTTCTCTCTCTCTTTTCTTTCTCTCTCTCTTTCCTTTTCTCTCTCTCCTTCCTTTTCTCTCTCCTTCCTTTTCTCTCTCTTTCCTTTTCTCTCTCTTTTTCCTTTTTCTCTCTCTTTCCTTTTTCTCTCTCTTTCCTTTCTCTCTCTCTCTTTCCTTTCTCTCTCTCTCTCTTTTCCTTTCTCTCTCTCTTTCCTTTTCTCTCTCTCTCTCTCTTTCCTTTCTCTCTCTCTCTCTTTTCCTTTCTCTCTCTCTCTCTCTCTCTCTCTCTCTCTCTCATCACTTTTTTTTTCTCTCAGTCTATTTAAATACTTTTCAAAATATTTTTTAATTTATTTGTCTATTATGAATTGGGCAAAATACACGAACAAATTAGTAATTCAATTGTCAGAATAAAATTGGGAATCTCATTTTTGCTTACAATTGGTTTTGACCATTACATTCTCCAGCCTTCATCAGGTGTCACTTGCTTGTAACAATTGCTTAGTGTATTTTTTTTCTTTGTTTTATTTTTTATAGTTTTCTTTTTTTCCATACAATGACAAATTCTGCATTGGGGAAAATATTGAAATCCAATCCAGATTCTGAAAAATCCAAAATAATTATTAGAAAGTAGTTTGGAAAACTTGGTATGATTTTTTTTTTTTCTTAAATTCTTTTTGCCATTAGGGAATTTGTCTTTAGAAGCAATTCATCAAATGCCGGCAAATGTAATGAAGCCATTTTTGGAACGTAAATGATTTATCAAGTGGCAGAGATTTGTCTTGGATCTATAGGATTCCTTTTGCCGTTTCCCAAATGTACTTTTGGTGCTTAAGAATATTAATGGCAAGTTTTATAGAGGCGTCGTGTTGACTTGCAAGCGCTTCTTCAGTCGAGCATTTTCTAAATAAATACGTATTCAAAACATTGGTGCCCAATTAAAATAATTTATGCATTTTTCTTTTTTTATTTTGTTTTTTTAATGACTGAAGTCTGTTTCTAAGAAATTAAGCGATGTATATATATATATATGTATTTGGGTAACAACGACTTTTTTATACAAGTTTCATTAAAAACAACTGACGAGGTACTGTGGTTAATTTTTTGATTTAATTTTTCTTGTGTTCTTATAATTTTCTTAATTTCTTGACATAAATTATTTAGAAATTGTCTGAATGTTCTGTATGTCCAAGTGATTTCCTTAATTCTTTTAGCCATTATCAAGGATGATTTTTTTTTTACTTTTAACTGAATGTGGGGTTTGTTTTTTTTATGTATGCATCTAGAGTTATGGGAATGTTTTATAAAACATTCCCTCGCGCATCTAGAGTTATGGGAATGTTTTATAAAACATTCCCTCGCGCATCTAGAGTTATGGGAATGTTTTATAAAACATTCCCTCGCGCATCTAGAGTTATGGGAATGTTTTATAAAACATTCCCTCATAATCTAGAGTTATGGGAATGTTTTATAAAACATTCCCTCGCGCATCTAGAGTTATGGGAATGTTTTATAAAACATTCCCTCGCGCATCTAGAGTTATGGGAATGTTTTATAAAACATTTCTTATGTATCTAGAGTTATGGGAATGCTTTATTTTCCAAAGACTATCAGTACCTTGTGTCAGTCATTTTTTAATGAAAGTTTGTATGTATGTATGTGTGCATATATATATATATATATATTATTTTTTTTTATTTTTTATTTTTTTTTTTTTTCTGAAGGTCTATTGAAAACCAACAAATAATAATGACCTTATTCACTTTTACTCCCACTACAACAATAAAATAAAATCTGGAGTAATCATAGACTTTTATTTAAGAATCTTCAGCCCCCACCAAAGAGAGAAATACTTAAAGAAAAAAAAAATACCTTCAAACTCCTCTAATACCCAAATTATTTCCTATGCAATACTAAACACAAAGCCTTCAAAATCTACAGAAGGAAAACAAAAAATATATATTAATATATACATATATTAATAGACAAATATAGACACCCTTTTTTTTTTGGTCTCTGCTTTTGAGATATTTGATAAACAAAAACTTTATTAATAATTTCCAAAATATATATAATTTACACTGTTTGAAAAAAAAAGCATACACACATATAAAAGACAAGCTAAAAACATTGCTAAGAGGTGATCTATTACACTGTATTGGAAATGAATGGTTGCCCCCTCCACCTGCCTTTAAAAAATGACTTACTGATGCAAAAAAATTCACACGTGCTTTGCACATAAAATATCCAGAATGGAAAATAGCCCAAATCAAAATATTTAAAGACAATAAAATCACACAAAACTTTGAGATACACAAAGTAGACTCTATCTAATGTGAACTGAAATTACTGTGGACACATTTTATTTCTTAGTCTTGCCTCATGGGCATTTTGACATGGTGCAGTGCTTAGCAAGCTTGCCTTGCTAGATCAATTACAATTGAGTTGTGAGTTTAATTCTGTACTTTCAACCTTGTGTCGCATCTAATCTATGCTCAGAAATCCTCTCTGGACAACTTGATGTAGTGCAATAGTTAGAAAGCTTGTCTTGCTAGCTCAATTACAATTCAATTATGACTGAGTGCCCCATACTTCTGGCCTTGTGCCACATCTAAGCTATGCTTAGCAAATCACCTTAGTCTTGACTGGTGAATGGTTTGACCTGTTGTTGCTGGTAAGACTTGGAGGTAGTTCTAAGCTATTGTCGCTAATGCAAATTGTTCTGAATTGCCAAAGAATAGTTTCTTTCGGTGTTTCCAATAAACTAGTTTGTCGCTGATGGTAGAAACTCTTTTCAACGCATTTAGCTTCAGGATTTATATGATAATGTGAACTTTCTTGAAACTTCGAAAGGACACATTGTCTCTCTTTGAATTTGGAATGCTGTAAATTATACGTTTGTTTAACAAGTCAAATGCATATGAAACCTGATTAACCAATGAAAATCAAAAACAAAAATACCAGATTTTCTTTCTTCTTTTTTGCCATATCTCATTCTCTTACATAAGCTTACATAAAAGTGAAACATTGATTTATTATTTATTCAGTTGAGCTCACTCTGACTTTCATGATTCTATCATGCCAACCATCATGGTTGGAAGGTCATTGGGGTGGCATTCTGTGTCATAAAATAACTGGTCAATATAGGTGGTTGCCAGGCGACCAACACATCTTGCGCCATGGCTAGGTGTCCAGAAGAGTAGATCACTCACTTGCCAGCAATGTCTTGAAAAGCAGATTGTGTTCATATAAGATTGTAGAAATATCAGGGATGGGTCCATAGAGCTGCAATTTAGTTGGATGTTGAATTCAAGAAAAGTTAAGTATAGCTCTCAGCATCCAAATGTAAGTCCCATCAAGCTTACACTCTAGGCTTTTAGTTTTATGTCTAAGCAGTAGAATCATACATTAACACTGCCTCTACAATGGCTTGAAAAAATCTCCATTTAAGGTTGTCTGGTAGATCAGATTTCCAGATTACATCCATTTTATTCAAGGCATCTGAGGCTTTAGCTATGCGAATTCTTATTCTTTTTAGTAGAATTTATTTCACTTCCATGATACATAAAAGATTCAACAGATTTTATTGATTCACCTGAGACAATTTCTATTGAGCCTTGCTGATTGAAGCCTATGAATTTTAGAGGCATTGACATAGAGTCTAACATCATTGGAAGCATTTTCTAGATGATGTAGGAGAACTGTGTCATTGTTAGTGATGTCTGCAGTGATAGCACGGTCATCTGCATAATTAATATCTGCCAACTTTTCTGCAGGATATTGACTTGAGAGTCTTGGTGATAAATTAAAACCTAGACATTGATGTTTATCAAGTGAAGTTCACAATACGTAGTCAAGGATGATAACAAAGAGAAAAGGTGCAAAGGTATCACCCTGAAGGACTCCTGCTTTGATGTCAAAGAATCTAGTGTCTCTATTTTGAAATCTAAACATTTCCTATTTGTTCTTTGTGTTTGCAAATAGATTTTTTTTATGCTCCATCCATTCACAACCTCCATGATTAAGGTCCTCAACCATTGCTGTATCTGAAATGCCTCTAAGTTTTCCTTCTCTTAGACTGGTTGCCAATCAAGTCTAGAGAACCCAGTTTATCCTGTTATTTAACCCATAGCTGAGGAGTAGAAGTAATGGCATCATTAGTGCAAAAACAAATGCAACAGAGTGGGTGGGAATTTGAACTTGGCTTGCTACTTCACCTTTCTAAATTATTAACCATTATGCTACCTGTACGCACGTTCATTCAAATCTGAAATGTGTGGTGTGGGGGAATTCTACTTACGAGTGATTGTAATGTTGATCGTCAATGGATTTTGTAGAGATCAACCTTCTTGTCAAGTTCCACACTTTTAGTCTCTTTCTCTCACTCTCTCTGTCCCCAATTTTAACCCCAAGTCACCCTCCCCCTGACCCAATTTAGTTTCTATCACTCGATAGCTTTTTTCTTAGCAGGAATAGATTGTTTTTTTTGTTTCTCTCTCTGAATCTTTTGTCTTGCAATTCTCTTCATTCCACAAATGGATGGTTGTGAAAACCTGCAGGAATCTTTTCCTGATTGCTCCATCAAGAGTCTTTAGAAAATGGATCCAGGACTCATTGTGATGCTTCCTCTTTTTAGCCACTGGAATTGCAATGACTTAGCATTTCTTAAGACCGGAATCTTCAGATTGTTCACTTATTGAAGCAATTTCTCAATTTTGTTCTTACCACATTTTTTCAAGAATTTTTCTCTTCTTACACACACAAACACACACACACAAAGAACTCTCTGTTGTACACTCAGTCACCTTCTCTCCAACACACAAGTGCACATTTTTACTATCTCTCCCTCTCTACAATACACAGGTGTACATTTTTACTCTCTCTCATACCACAATACACAGGTGTACATTTTTACTCTCACTCACACCACAATACACAGGTGTACATTTTTACTCTCTCTCATACCACAATACACAGGGGTACACTTTTACTCTCTCTTTCCAATACACAGGTGCACGTTTTTACTCTCTCTCACTCGAATATACAGGTACACTTTTTTATGCTCTCTCCCCAACAATACACAGGTTCACATTTTTACTCTCTCTCTCTCCCCACAATACACAGGTGTACATTTTTACTCTCTCTCTCTCTCTCCACAATACATAGGTGCACATTTTCACTCTCTCTCTCTCCACAATACACAGGTGCACATTTTCACTCTCTCTCTCTCCACAATACACAGGTGCACATTTTCTCTCTCTCTCCACAATACACAGGTGCACATTTTTACTTCTCTCTCCCCACAATACACAGGTT